AATGAATGGATAACTGATATAGCTTTAAAGTAGTTCAAATAATCTATAACATTATTATTATAATGATTATTATTATTATCATCACTATCATTATGAAGGCTACAAAAACTAAGTTATTCTAAACGTAATGTAACAACTTCGGTTAATTTTTGGATTCACTGTTTTGGATTTTTCCTTTCCACAGCCTACAGGAAGTGTCTGGAGATTCACACTGGAGATTCAACAAATACACACTCACACGCGCGCGCGCGCACGCACCACTTACTACTAGTGTTGCTACAACATGCTCTAGTGCTTGAGCTTCAGCGTCTGTCTCTTTAGCTGTCTGCCAATGTGCCAGAATAATTTGCCACATTATCATCTAATTTAATTTAATTATACAACGATCTTTCTCGCCTGGTCTGTATAAAAAATATAAAAAACGGTGTTTTAAAATAATTAAAGGCCACGTTTTGTTTTCCGGTTTCCGGTTCTTTCGGGTAGGAATAACGGTCCGCGCGAGACACCTCGACACCCCGCAACCCCGGTAACAGGCTAGCCGTACAGGCTGTTAGCTGCCCAAAATATCCAGCTGAATGAAGCCCTTTGCTTTGTATGGAAACCACTAGCATCACTGACTGGGTGAGCTCTATGTTATTGGCAACACTGTAGCTAAATAATAGTCTGTCCACTGTTACGTGTTTGTGGCAACCCATGCTCGTGGTCTCCGTTAGTTAAAACACGCTGCTGGGATGTTTTAGTTCATGTCACGGCAGCTGACTTGTAGTCTGCAGCTAAGTTAACTTCACTCCTTTGCCTGACCCTTATGAGGAGACGTTATTTTATTATTACTCTCCTTGGTTAACGAGGACCTCTCGTGTTTCTAGCATCTCCCATAATCTTGCGAGCTGTTTTTTTTTCTTCAGACGAGTATGTGTGCGTGTGTGTTGGCTTTGAGGTTGAGATAATAACTCAGAGTAACTACGTGGCACTCAATGGCACCTCTCAAAAGCTGAACTGACGGCGTACCTTTTTGCTCTCTACCACTGCTATAGGTTCATGTTCCATCGCGACAATGAGGAGCGTTATTGTGCTGTCGCTACTGCTGCTGAACATAAATCACGTAATATCAGCCCCCAAAGGCGTCACTGCCAGTCTTAAAGCCAAGTGGAGCATGACGCCTTTCCTCCTGGAGACGAGGTACAGTACTTTTCTTGGAAATGCATATGTGCAATAAAACGGGGCACAGCCAGGTGCCCCTCCTCCTAAATGCACTGCTTTTATCTTTTATTAATCCGCGGTTTGTATTTTAATCTTTAAATGTCCTAAACAGAAAATAAAATCTCATTACACTTCCCAGAGACAGGTCAGGACCAGAGACTAGAAATATTGAATGATTTCTATTTTTGCACTGCATTCACCTGAAAGCAAACTGAAATTATTTATTTAGTATTAAAGTAGTTACTGATTGCTATTCATTAATGCATTTATTTATTTATCCAATACTAATTCTTTCACTTCTTACATCAACACTGATGTTTTCGTAACCAAAACCTTCACCAAATCTTTCCTTGCAGACTGATGGATAATAGCTCTAACTTTGGTGATTCAGCCAACCTTGGGCTGAAAGTTCCACGAATATTACTAGGAAACTCTATTCTCCCTTTCCTACTTCTTTTCTTTTGTTTTGTTTTTGTTTAAAATCACTGCAATTAAGGATTTATAATAGTATATTGTATTACCAGATAAAGGTCACAGCCTCAATGTTCTCCACGGTAACTTTGCTCATGGTCGTAAATACATTGTAGTTTACCATCATTTAGCTTTTTTGAAAGACTTTCTTGTGTTACATTGTAGCTAAACTAAAACAGAATATCATTTGTGGAAAAATCAGTCTCGTTATATTGACAGCCATCATCCAGAATGATTAATCCCATCACAGACCTAACAATTTAAAAAGTGCATTCTGTAGCCCATTTACAATAGACTTTAAGTAATAGACAGAAGTTATTTCACTGTGTTTATCACAGTAGAAGACAGTGCTGGAACATTTAGAAAACCTTAATTCTCACATTTATATTATTATTTATTATTCAGCACAGAACCATTTATCTTTCAAATTAAATCACAAGTGTCACCAAGCAAGGCCGTTTTCATGGGGACCAAATATAAACATCACTTTGTTTATGTTATGAGTTGCCTTATTATGATTTCTGAAGGACACTTGTGTAAAAAATCACCACAAAAACGTTCTGCTTTATTACTCTTGGAAGGTTATTCAGATTTTTATACTGGTTATTTATTGATGTAATGTAATTTTACTGCCTTTAACTTTTTTAAATCACCTTAAAATATAACTTCGCTGTATCCCTGTTGGTGTACTTCTGGTAAAGTTGATACGCTTAAAGCTGGAATGTCTTCTTTGTGGCCTCTCCTGTTTCAAAATAGTCTGTGATGATTTTATCATCAGTGTTAGTTTTACCAATCTCTTTGGTAACCTCGTAGAAATGTTCGTATATAATTGGATTGTGTGTTTAAATAGCCGTAGTAAAAAACTTGATCCTTTATCTTGTTTAATGATGAGTTACAGTGGATATGTGCACAGTTACTTCCAGAAATAAATGATTTTGGTGGTCTGTAGTTTTAACTGCTGAGGAGCAAAATAATGTTTGCTTATTATACTTACGTATTTTCATGTGCAGCGAATTTATTGGAGAAGATGGGAATGAGAAATTCTGGCAGTTTGTCGACACTGTAAAAGAACTTACTGTATACAAGCACGGGGGTATGTCTATTTTTACATTAAACAATTAATTTTATATGAAGAGGTGTAACTCATTGAACTGAGTTTTGAGTTTTTGTCCCACCACTGTTTATTCTACAGAGTCGGTGCGCTCGTACTACAACTTGATCATTAAGAAAGCCGGACAGTTCCTCACAGATCTTCAAGTTAATATTCTCAAATTTGCTCTTGCCCTGCGCTCCTATTCACCAGCTGTTCATGCATCCCAGCAGGTATGTTCTGATCAAAGTGTTATAAAGTAATATTTTCAGCTCAGTTCAGTTTAATTTGTACAGATCCAGTTTAAAACTCAGTCATTTCAAGGCAATCCAGGCAATCCTCTACAGGCAAGCACCTAGCAGTGTTGCGGAGGAAGAACTGTTCCCACCCTGGGAGAGCCAAGCTCACGGCGTGGCAGCCCTCCACTGGGGGGGTCACAGAAAGTATGATGAAAAACAAACAAAACAACACAAAAATGAAAAGAAAAAGTAGAAGAACATTCTCTGTATGAATTTCAGAAGTGGGAAATAAGGGGGTTTAAAAACAGAGGAGACTGGAAAAGACAAGCTCAGCGCATCATAAGATATCTCCCAGCAACCTGAAACTGTAGCAGCGTAACTAAGGGCTCAACTGATCCAGCCCTAACTAAACACTTTTATCAAAATAAAACTTTTATGCCTAACCTCAAAAGTAGAGAAGTGGTCGTGTTATAATCACATGTATTTTAAAACGAGTAATTCAGGTGGGGACCAAACCAGCAAACCCTGGCTTTAGTAAGGTTATGTTGTAGCCATTACTTTACCAAACATTCTTTTTCTTCCTTCTGTTCATAACAGATAGCCAAAGATGAGCCTCCGCCTGAGGCTTGCCCAGCCTTTGTCTCCATCC